CACGTATGTCTCTCTTAGGGTCCTCATTGTTGTCTAGGTTCTCTGGGATTGCGGTTTGTGGGCTGGTTTTCTTTGCTTTATGCTTAAAAACCACTTATGAGTGAGTACATGTGATAATTGTCTTTCTGTGTCTGGGTTACCTCACTCAAAATGATGTTTTCTAGCTCTATCCATTTTCCTGCAAAATTCAAGATGTCATTATTTTTTTCTGCTGTGCAGTACTCCATTGTGTAAATGTACAACATTTTCCTTATCTGTTCTTCTTCATATACTTTTTAAATAAGAAACTGTTAACTGTTTGGTTGGAAGTGTCACCCCAGCCCCCTGGCACCCCTATATCCAAAGAGTCTGAAGTGTTTGGGTCCAGGTGTCACCCCAGCCCCTGGCATCCATTCTAAAATGTTTGGGTGGAACTTTCCACTCCAAGCACCTCCCCTGGGAGTTACTGCAGTCCAGACTCCACCTCCGAAAAAGCCCACCAAATGGTGACCTCCCTAGAGAGGGCCAAGACCACTCCCACAGGCTATTTAACCTGCCCCACAGAGAACAAACACGTGGTCTTCCGGGTTCTCCTTTTGGTGTTTTCCAAGAGAACCACCGGGAGCACTGGATCCGTTTTCTAGAAATTTAATGACTGTGAAAGAATTATTTGCCCTCCCCCTATTTGGAATAGAAAAACATTATAGAGATGCTGTGAACCTCAGAGTAGTGTCCTGATGCAGATATGGGGGAAAGAGCTTGAACGAGGAGAAGCCCCATTTCCCCCTCAACTTCTCATGCTTTCCCATGTATGTGAGGCGGGCAGGACTTCTGGACAATGCCTGTGGCTGCCTCAGTGCATAGAATTGGTACAAAACTGGGCACGCTGGTGGAAGAACGCATTACGGCATTTGTAATTGTACTATAGTTCCCTTGAAGTGTGTGGTATTCCCTTGTGGTTTGGATAATACTCCAGTGGTTCTGGATTGAAGGGGCGAGGAAATGATTCACAGCTGTATGATGATGGTATTGAATCTATCCTATCCTGGATGTCGCCCAGTGGCTCTGACAGTTCATCTAGAGACCAGGTGACCTCCTCCCTCTTCAAAGGCAGCCTTCTTGCAAGTGTTAACAGTAGTAGGTTCTCAGGCCAGGCCAGGTGACCCTGTGACATCTGCTCTAAGCCACAGTGGCATGGGAAACCTGGGCTAACTGAAATGCTTGCCAAGACTGGGTACTCTGTGGCTTTGATTCCTAGCCAAGAGCCAGGCAGCCAAGTGGCATTGGGTAGTTGCTGACGGCAGTAATTGGCTCGTTCCTCTCCTGTGCTTGTCTGCCCTGGAGGAGACATAGATAGAGAAACAGCATTGCTGGAGGATTGAGCCATGGGAGCGACCAAACTCGGCCTCAGGGAGGACAAGTACATTGCTATTCTTAGCATTTTGTACACACGTTGAACCCCGCCAGGCTGTCAGGGCGCCTGGTTTGTCCTTCTAGGATGTCTGTCCAGAGACTCCCTCCCCGATGAGGATGGAGTCCTTAGCTGCCACCCCTTCTGTCTTTCTTGGGTTGTCTTCACGAGGATGAGGTAGAAATACTAGCGTGGTGATGCTGCATCACCCTGAAAGGCAGTTTGAGTTCTGAGGAACAGATAAGTTAATTCTCTCTGTGTGTATGAGGCCTGGGTGGCTGATCTCTTTCTTACCACATATTCTAGGCTGACCTTGTACTCACCGCAATCCTCTGCCTCGGCCTCCCAGATGCCGGAATTTTAGGCACGCACAGCACCACATCCAGCCCAGCCCAGCCTAGCCCCCAACCCCCTCCAGGCACTTGTTCTTGCTGAGAGGCCAGGAAAGCTTTAACAGTTGATGGTACTAAGCAGGCAGAGTTCTTGGCCATGTGCTGAGAAGCCTCTGGGTTGAGGTGCCCCTATTTAACATATCAAAGCAGATCTGGCTGCCAGGTTCTTCCAGCTTCCCTCAGGACCTACTCATCACACAGGTATGGCTGGCATACCCCACCCCTACCCTGAACTCTCCAGTCCAGGGAGATGCCCCAAATGCCCTTCTTTATATAATCCAGACATTTTGGTTAATCGCCCCTTTAGGACCTTTGGCCTCCTGACTACTACACTTGGTTCCCGTCTCTCCCTTTTCCCTTCCTGTCCCCATCTCTCCACATGGCCCAGCTCAATCTGGTCATGGCCACACTGGACTCTCCCCGATGTCCCTGTCCCTACTTCTACCCCTTTATTTACAGTAAACTTTCTCCTCCACCATAGCTATTTCCTTTCCTTTTTATTTATTTATTTTTCATGAAATACTGAGGAACTCTACAAAGAAAGGGTAGACATTTGACTGGGGTGGGCATTCTAGACAGAAAAGCAAGGAGAGAGAAGAAGACTGGGCTGGGTTTGGGAAGCAGTGAGTTCCTAGCTTAGGCCTCTTTGGGGCCCTCCTGTGAGTCCCGGGTGCTGCCCAGAGGTTATCCATGCCCACTCCTCATCCTGTTAACGCTACACTCTAAGTATTGCCTCTGTTTTCCCCAGGAAGATACCATAGGGACAGACCGAGACTCTTTCCCAGAAGAGTTGGAAGTTCTTGGAAGGTTTTCCATAACCACTTCCAGTTACACTGTAACACTGGAAGTTATCTATCTTTCCTCTCTGAAAATATGGCAGATACTGGGTTAAATACTGAGAGACTCACCCATTTGGACTCTAATGTAGAGCCCAGTCTCTTAGACCAAAGACTTTCACCACCGTTTGATATATGGTCTTGGAAACCCTAGATCAATTAGCCCCCCTTCTTCTCTCAAAATGAACTGGGTGTGTTTGTTACGTACCCACACAGCCGTGACTAGATGCTGTGTGATACTGATTGGGTGTAATGCTCTTAGGCGAGCTGTCCTCGGGTTTATGAGATTGTGAATTCTCAGCCTGACTTAATATTTTATGAGATTCAATCATAACCAGAGGCTATGATCTGGAAGCCATGACAAAGAGTCTTTGCTATACTTAGGGCCGTTGATAGAAACACAAACTGCTGTTTGAGCACAAACCCCATTTTTGGTGAGGTGGTAATGGATTTTGGCCATTTTCTTTTTTTCATTTTTACCACTGACTTCCAAAGGTGTATTAATTAGTGTTCTCACAAACATTAGCAAGGTGGTCATCTATTTCCCACACTGATCTAAGAACTCAGAAACTGCATAAGCCTTCTAAGACCTTGCCAGGCAAGCACCATCCTTACTAATTATATTCCACAGTGAAGGAACCAGGCACAAAGAAGTGAAAGGCCCTTCCCCGTCACACAGCTCTCAGGCAGAGCCATGGGAATTCAAACCCTGATAGCGTTTCCTGAGCTTGTCCGGTGTTAGCCACTGTATGTGCAGCCTCTGTTGTTTGCAGAGCTGCATGTTGTGGCTGAGTGCAGAGCACCTCCCCGCCTTCCTCCTGGAGCAACCTGAGACGTGCCTGCCATCCTTCTTTTCCTCGGTAGCTACAGGTGGCCCCAGCGCTCGGCGTCCTGCTGTTTCTGACTCTCTTGTCGGCCAGTGTCAGTGACCTTGTCTAACTTCAGAGGGACCAGTCTGTGTCCTGTCTAAGGTCTGTGTGTGCACCTTTGTTGTCACCAAGTATTAGAAGATTTGAGTGGCATCCACTGTTCTTCCCCTGCACAGTTCAGCCGTAACTGAATGAATACAGCCAGCCGTGTGGCTTAGGCAAAAAGGGATCCACGGGCGTAGGGGAGGCTGAAGCAGGTGGAGACTCGTTTATGTATAGGATGGACCTTGACCTTGACTGCAGTGCTGGGAAAAGGAGAATTCGGGCTTATGTTTGATTGGAAGTGAGACCCCCAGCCCTCTAACCCTCCTATGTTCTGGGATGATTGGAAGCCTCACCCCAGCCCCTCCCCCTGGAAGCTGCCTTGGTCCAGACTCCACCTCCAGAAAGCCTGCCAAGTGTTGACACTTCCCCAGGGAGGATCAGGACCACTCCCACAGGATATTTAGGCATGCGCTTGGAAAAAGGAACACGTGGGCCCTGGGGTTTTGCGTGGTCTCCCCACCTCTCCCTCTCACCATGTTTTCTCGGCCACCCGGGAGCCCCGCATTTATTAAATGTGGGCATCTTTGATTTTTGTCTAATCTGGTCTAATTGTAATTATTTGCATAGGCGGAGAGGCTGCTCTTAAGATTCTACCTAACAACGTTGTCATGTGAACAGGTCATCACACATCTTCAGATTTACTTTATAAAAACCTAGTTTGGGGCCAGCAAGATGTCTCAGCAGGTAACGGCACTTTTTCCAATCCTAGCAATCTGAGTTCAATCCCTAGGACCCATGGGAGGGTCCTAGGAGAGAGGACAGCTCATGAGGTTGTCCTTTGACTTCCTCTCGAGCCACGGCACAAATGCACAGACGAGTACACACACGCACGCACGCACACAATGCATAGCGTGAGCTTTGGGTGAGGTGAGTGAATGAGCTGTCCCGTTGGCCAACTAGTGTCCACAAAGACTCCATGGGTGCCCTTTCCCCAGGGTTGTATTTCTCTCCTGACACCTTCTCTTCATGCTCACTCCCTCACTTCAGTCCCAGAAGCAGCTTCACCTGTGGTAGCAGGAAATGTACTTTTAGGTTAAAGCCTGTAGTTTTGAAACAGAACTTGTTCTTAGGGCAATATGAGTTAAACAACAACTTTCCCAGGCCAGTATCAGTTAGATGGAGTCCCCTGGAGGGTACTGATGCAGACGCTGAAGCAGACCGTGGAGCAATGTCCCGGGAATCCTATGCGTTTGTGGGGCCCATGCTACCCAAGCACAAGCAGCAGGGTCTGTTAGGGTGCTCTCTCTAGACTGAGGGTCTCCCGCTTGACGTGGTTGCTCAGCGAACCACTTACTGAGACATGCAAGGGTGCATTCCCAGAACGAGCTCTGCATCCCCACGTGGTTTGACCTCCCAGGCGTTGGGCACAGTGTGCGTTCAGCAGTTTGTTCTCTGTGCTTCTTTCTAGCTGTGTCCTCCCCGCAGCAGCGAGCGTCCGGCAAGATGAAGCCAATAGAGGAAGGGGTGGAAGATGACGACGAGGTCTTTGTACAGGTGTCTGCAGATCCACTTAGAGTCCATCAGTTGCACTGATGAGCCTTTAAGTGACCAAGATGGAAGCCGTCCTGACAAGAAGTACTGTGACGTGACTTTTAGGTGGTCGCTTCAGTCCTGCCAGATGGGAAGTGAGGGAGGGCCCCAGTCGGAAATTGTGGGCCGCCTGCCCGGTCGGTTAGCTCCTTGAGTTAGCCGAGCCTTCTGACGAGGCCTTGTTTGATTTTGAGATACGTATTTTCTCAGTAGATATATTAATATTATTTTAATTAATCTTAGAGCTGTCAACACAAATGCCTTTTCACTTATTTTTCTAAGTGTGCCTCTTTTTTTCTCACGTGTATCTTTTTCTCTATCATGGTAATTCAGAACAAGTTGTTCTTTTGGTCATTATAACGATGTAAGTTGAAATTGAGGCTGACACAACATTAAAAATTTTACCTTTTGTTCAGTTGACTTTTTCATGGCAAATTTTAGAGAAAGTTTGCTTTGTCTGGTTCTGTTTCCTGCCCCGAGACCAGAAGTGCCCCACTATGCCAACCTGCTCGTTTGGCTTGTGGATCAGCTGGTAGTGACCGCCCTCCTCCGAGTGTGCCCGAATGACACTCATCCCTGCCATTACCCGTGACTCGAAGCGTGGGCCCGCAGCGCCAGGAAGTGTGAGCCTTTCTGAGCTCAGTGCCAACTTGCAGCTGGACTCAACTTTCTGCCTTGTTGTTTGGAGCCATCCCTGCCACCTGCTCAGATGTGGGCGAGGCCTCATGCTAGAGGAAGTCAGGGGAGACGGGCTGAGCAATACATAGGCTGGGTCGCAGACATAAGCTTTGCCCTTTAGTCCATGTCTGTGAGCCCACATTGTGCCTCTGGAAGCGGATGCACTGAGCCAGACACAGTGGTTCGCACCTGTAATGCCAGCACTTGGGGGGTTAAGGCAGGAGGACAGAGTTTGAAGCACAGCTGGGGAGGGAGCAGACAGTTCACCTGTGGCCACAGGCGTCTAACCTGGGTATGCTGAGGGGGCCTCCATACAGATCGTTCCTTCCTGCTAGCCACATTCTTAAGGATGGCAGTAGACTTGGTTGTGCCCAAGTCGTTCCGCTCCTGCAGCAGTGGCACGCGGGCGCTCAGCCAAGACCGCGGGTTGGCTATGCTAGTCAGTTTGTCTTATCTGCTGAAACCAACTGGAGCCAGCTCCGTGTCATGAAAAGTTCGGAATGAATCTTCTTTGGGGGTGAACTAAGCCTAACACGAAAAGGCAGAATGACGTCACTGAACAAGCGCTTAATTCTGGAAATCTAAAGACAGAGGTGAATCAGCCTTGACTGAGGCCAAGGCTGCAACCAGGGGCCACTTTCTCCATTAGCCCACGAGAGATGTGGTAGATAGTGTGGATCTGTTTCCATGAACCTACTTAGCTCCCCCCCCCCCCCCCCACACACACATGAGGCTAATTTACAGTCACTCTGGAAATGGCGCTTCCCAGAGAAGACGGGAATATCAGATTCCACTGGGGCCAAAGTCTTCATGTGCGGTGACTGCATAGACTGTTCCACCCCAGAGGGTAGAAAAGGTGACCTCCGCTGATCGGCTGGAATCTAGCTGAGGTGTCTGGAGTGCTGGGAGTGAAACTGTGTGAAAAGTGCTCTGTTAAACCTGGGTAATTTAGAGTCCTTTACTCTTCTCATGGAAACGTGCTTATCAGTGTCACTGATAGCGAAGATCATAATCTCATGGCGAGGAATCTTCAGAGAGCCACTTAGTCTGAGTAAGAAACCTGAAACTGTTTTTAAGGTCGTACCTCCAAGAAAGACAAAGACTTGGAGAACAGGAGCCCTAAGCCATTGAATAGCCCTCCCACATAGCCTTGACTTCAGACGAGCAGAGAAGAAAATAGAAAAAGAACTCTAAGTGTTAGGTCTGTGGACAACTTTGGATCCATTTACATAGATGAACAAATATAGTTTTCTACAAAGCATAATAGAGTGAAAGATGTTTGTACCAGTCTCCAAAACGATGCTTCCTCTGGTTTTAGCATTCCGTTAGCTCTGAGATCAGTGTTCAGAAAATGCCCTGCAGAAATTATTCTTATGTATGTCCCTGATCTATGTCTAACATCAAGTCAGTTTATGACCCTAACGTAATAGTTATACTAAAACGTATTTGTCACTTAGACTATGTTGAAAGTCCTCAGAACATACGTATAAAACAAATAGCACAGATGTAGTAGTCTATTTATCTGGTCAGAATGGGAGCTACACTACCTTTCTAGTTCTTTCTGAAACCCTGTTTCTCCCAGTCAACCCTGTTACACTCTAACCACGGGCACCAGTAGTCCTCAGAGGCTTCTTGTGCGTCAGTGGCTCTCCGGCATGCTGGATGAGTTTGTGTTGTTTGTTTTAATTCAGAGCCATCAATGTCTGCTTCCTGCGCCCATTAGGGTCCTCAACACACATTTGGTTGCTGGTGGAAAAGACTTTAGAAAAAGCTGGCAGGACCTGCATACTTCTTTGTCCCTGGTGCACTCAGGTTGGTCCTCCAAGAAAGGTCCCCTGCTAGAAAGTGGTGGGTCCCAGCCTCCCAGCTCCTCCTTTAGGGCTTGGTCTCCCTACAGACCCCCAGGGTGCCTCTCTAAGGGTTTAGTTTTTATTTAAATCCATTTGTTTGGTCATTTCTACAACTGCTCTATGGAGACCTCTGGCCCTGTGATACCTGTTTCTTTTTCCCTTCCATTCCCTGGTTGTCTACGTCTGTCACCAAGCCGGAGTGACTGGAACTTCCACCTACTCAGCTCAGTCTCCAGCGTTTGGTAGCTCTGTCCCTGGCAGCAGCCATGCTTTAGTTAGCACAGTCCCTCGGAACACCTTGGGTACCATGACATAGTGCAGGCGTTATAATGTAAGGAAGCTGATTGTAAGAGCCACGTACGTACAGGTTTCCTGTTAAACGCACAAGCTGGTTTTAAGATGGAGAACTTCATGAATGCTTCACGTAGACACATTACAAGAAACTCCGGGTGCCATTTACAGTAGCGTTCACTTTATATTGTGTGTCTGAGTATAGTGTTACTGTTCAGATTCACTTCATACATTGTCATTTGATCAAATAAATTTTTACGTAGAAAGTGTGTGTGTTTTCCATCTTATGCCTCTTGCACTTAGGGCTTGGTCTTAACTCTATGCCCAAGAGCAGGTGGCATAGTTTACTGCAGAGGGTAAGAGAGCCACTCTGCTAAGCCGCCCTGAGAGTTCATCCTATTGGGTTGGTTTGTTTTGTTAGGTGACTCAGGGTCTGCTGTCTTGACTCTGCTTGGCCAGATAAGAGAATGTTGCAAGGCAATGTCAGCCTTTGACAATTCTGAAGCCTTTGCAGTTTCCCTTCTGGCACAGAGATTCACTCTGAGCATCCCTCGTAGCTCCAGAAGGTTCAGTAATTCAGGGGTTTCTTGCAAGAGTCCGAGGCCCCTGCACCAGCCCTTGAGGACATTTTGTTCTTAGATACCCACACTTTATTTCACCAGGTCTCCAAGGTTTTTTAAAGTTTATTTTATTATATGAGTGTCGGTCTGCATGTGTGTGCACCGTGTGCGTGCCTGATGCTCACAGAGGACAGCAGAGGGTTTTAAATCCCCTGGAACTGAGTTACAGACTGAGCCCTGTGGATACAGAGAGCTGGACCTGGGTCCTCTACAAGAGCAGCCAGTGCTCTTAACTACTGAGCCATCTCTCCAGCTCCAAGTTTATTTTAGCAAAATAATAAGTACCTCACAGCTCTGCTCTGCCATCTCTTATATAGGAACAAGCACAGGCTCATACAGTTAAGGTCTGTGCTGTTATCGAAGTGTGGAGAGCAGATTAAGTACCGCATATTGTTAACGTTCTCATAGCCATGTCAAAGACCCCAGTGCTTCAGGCCCACAGAAATTTGTTAAACCTTTTTCTGGTCCAAGTACATGTGTTTACAGAGGATTGACCAGTGTCTAGAGAAACTCAACTACTGCTTCCTCCTGGATGAGTACAGTCTGACGGTTTTCCTAAAAACACCTCCAGAGTTCACTAGCTAAAGCTGCCTCCTCATTCAGCTGTATACCACAAACACGCCCCTCCCTTCAGCGTGTACCACAGATCCGCCCCTTGTTCAGTGTATACCACAGACCCGCCCCTCGTTCAGCGTGTACCACAGACCCGCCCCTCGTTCAGCTGACTACAGCTAAACCCACCTCCTCTACTCAGATATATAAAATAAATGAGCTGAACTTCAAGCTTGCAGCTCCTATGTCTCCATCAGAGCACGCGGGCCACCCAACCTCAGCTCCTCTGTACCATGTCTATGTGTCTGTCCTTCCTCATCGTCCCAGGCAAGCCAGTCCCTGACCCTTGCAGATCCTGGCATCAAAGCAATTGGAGAATTTGCAAGCAGAAGTGAAAACCATTCTGGTGGAACCCTTTACCTGCAGGGAAAAGCCAGTGGCGTCTTTTTCATCATTTTTCAGTGTATGAGTGTTTTGCCTGCATGAATGTCTGTGCACCGTGTGCCACCTGTTGCCTGCAGAGAGGTCAGAAGAGGATGTCACGTCCCCTGGGACTGGGATTACAGACAGTTGTGAGCTGCTATGTATGTGCTGGGAATTGAACCCAGGTCCTCTAGAAAAGCAGTCAGTGCTTTTAACCTCAAGCCGTCTTTCCAGTCAGTCACCCAAAGCTGATATTGTTACCACAGTCATCAAGGTTCTTCCTACATCCAGTTCCTTCTCTCCTATACCTCAGCCAGGGCACATCAGCCACCTACTGTCTGCTATGCCTGAGTTTCCCCTCCAGTAGGTGCCTCACAGTTAACAGTTACATCTTCCTGTTGCCATTTGTATCCCCTGTGAAGTCCAGTGTGCTCTTGCTTGTCACCCTTTGTCGTATAGAGTTCATACACACTGTGACTGCTTATAGCTGGCATCCGTATCTATGGAGCCAGCCAGTCTTGAATCAGAAACACTGAGGCAGGATGTGGTGATACATGCCCTTAATGCTAAGGCTTGGGAGGCAGAGGCAGGCGGAACTGAGTTTCCTGCCAGTCTGATCTACGGTGCGTTCCCAAACCAAACAGCTGCATAGAGAGAGAGACCCTGTCTCAGTTTTTCTAAAGTGGAGGGAATTATGTCTCTATTGAACCTGTGAAGGCTTTCCCAGGTTTCACTGGGCCCCCAGACACAGGGTAACGGCTTTTTACCCAGACTTTGCTTTGTGTTAGGCATGCTAAGTCATCTAATGCTGAGTAAAATACGTGTGTGTGTGTGTGTGTGTGTGTGTGTGTGTGTGTGTGTGTGTGGTGGGGGGACTACAGAGTTTTGGTGGCTTCTTTCCCCGTTTTATGTAAGAGACTTGAACATCTGCTGGGGTTTTAGAACCAAATCTTGGAAGTTAATAATTAGAAAATGTCATAAGCAGGTTTATTAGTAATATGAAATATTTAGATATTCGAATGGCAGCTGAGGTATAGGAAGAATCACTTTGGAGCGTGTGGGAAGTGCGCCCTCTGCTGGTGCAACTGAGGTACAGCGTAGCCTCCAGTTCAGAATGTGCAACTCTAGCCAAACACTCTTCTTTCCTCTCTTCCTCCCTCCCTCCCTCCCTCCCTCCCTCCCTTCCTTTCCTCCCTCCCTCCCTCCCTCCCTCCCTTTCCTCCCTCCCTCCCTCCCTCCCTTTCCTCCCTCCCTCCCTCCCTTCCTTTCCTCCCTCCCTCCCTCCCTTCCTTTCCTCCCTCCCTCCCTCCCTCCCTTTCCTCCCTCCCTCCCTCCCTTCCTTTCCTCCCTCCCTCCCTCCCTCCCTCCCTCCCTCCCTCCCTCCCTTCCTTTCCTCCCTCCCTCCCTCCCTCCCTCCCTCCCTCCCTCCCTCCCTTTTCTCCCTCCCTCCCTCCCTCCCTCCCTCCCTTCCCTTCCTCCCTCCCTCCCTCCCTCCTTCACTCCCTTCCTTCCTTCCTCTGTCTCTCTCCTTTTTCCCCCCTCTCCCACTCTCTTTCCTCCTCCCCCATCATTTTTTTTTTTTTTTGACACAGGTTTTGCTAATCACCGAGGCTGGCCTCCAGCCTCCTGCCTCAGCTTCCTGGGTGCTTGGATTGAAGGCATACACCACCACACATAGCCTTCTCTGTTTCTTAAAAGTCATACTCTTTAATTTAAATAAATATTTTAAAAGGTGTTGCGACCATTTGGAGTCCCGGCCCCCAGCTGCTCTTCCCTCCTAGAGATCTTTACTTTCCTTCGATTTGAGTTATTAAAAGCTGTGTCAAAGTTGTTTACTGGCTCTGCTTCACAAGCACGTGTTGCTTTGGCCTTGAGGATCAGAGGATGAGGTTTTCACCTGCTGGCCCACTTGACTGTTGGGTATATAAGCCTCCAGGGTGCTATTGAATAAAGGGCTTCTTACCAGTGACCAGAGGTCCATGTCCCTGTCTCTCTGTCTCTGTCTGTATGTGTTTGTATGTTTCAACCTCCAGCCCCTTGCCCGAGGCTCGCGAACTGTATGGTAGCCCATAGAGCGCAGACAGTTGTGTGCTGCAAAAATGCACTTTTATCTATATGATCTGTTGCACTGTGTTAATTTGCATAACAATTTTTACTGGTTTTGTTGTGCTGAGGAGCACAACTGCCCACATGTGGAGGCCAGAGGTCAGCCTGTGTGAAGCCGGAGCATATGGAACACTGCCAGTCAAATTCGGCATCAAGCATCTTCACCCTCCGAGCCATCTCACTGGCCTGAAAGGTACAGCCTAAATTCTTACTTCTAGGCCCCCTACTAT